GGGGAGAGGGTGAGTGGGTGGGAGGTGCCAAATGGGAGGGCCGTTGTGCGCACAGTGTGACTGTCCCAATGGGCCCAGCGATTCTACTCCAAGGTGTCTATCCAAAAGGCTTGAAAGCAGAGATTGGAGCCGAGGCTGGTGCACCAGCCTTACTCGTCACAGTAGCCGCAGGGTGGAAACCCCCCTGAAGGCCCACGGACAGATGAACAGATAAACAAATCTTGGTCCAACACACAATGGAATACTAACCCAGCCAGCAGGAGAAATGAAGTCTCTTCTTTTAAAAACCAAGCAACCAACCGTTTTATTGGCGTGTAATTCACAAATCATGCAATTCAATAGTTCAGTCCTCCCCAAAGAGTTGTACAATCATCACCTCAATGAATTGTGGAACATTTTCTTCCTTCTTGTTCTCATTGTTATTAGCTTTCCGCTTCCCTCCAGCCTCCCCCCCTGCCAGACCCCCACCCCACACCAAGAAACCATTCATCAGTTACTGTGTCTTTAGAGTTCTCTCTCCTGGATCTTATCTACAGGAAAACATTGAAAATAAACAAAGGAACGATCAAAAACTAGCAACAATAGCCAAGTAAAGCGGAGGGGAAAACGTTGATAGAAAAGAAGGCGGACAACATTAAACACCAAGTCGAGATTAAAACAGATCAAAAGGGAAGCCGAAAGACCAGGTGTGCGCCTTCAAGGGAGCCGCATGTGTGACAATCCACTTTGCAAGGTCCTCTGTCTGATAGCTACAGGGTGGGTGGCATTGAAAGACATTACGCCGAGTGAAACAAGCCGGTCCCAAAGGGGCAAGTCTTATCTGACCTCACTTATCCCAGAAGACAAATATCCAGAGAACTAAGTTTATTAACGGCCATCAGGGGCAGGGAGAAGCCCTGGTGGTGCAGAGGTTAAGCATTCAGCTGCTCGCTGAGAGCTCTCTGGCTTCACTCCACCAGCCGCGCTGCTTCTTGGGAGAAAGGCGTGTCAGTTGGATTCCCTGAGAGTCTCTTAACTAGAGCCAAACCCACAGCCATCGAGTTGATTCTGATTCATAGCGACCCGATACAGTTTCCTAGACTCTCTAGAACTTCACAAGGACAGGTGAGCTTCGCTTTTCCTCCCGTGGAGAAAGCGGCTGGTGGGTTAGCACCGCCGACCGATGGTTGTGGCCCCAATGTTTGACCCCCATCACCGCCAGGACTCTTTCCCACAATGATGTGACCTCCAGGGTCGCCTATGAGCCAGAATCGACCCGATGGCTCTGGGTTTGGTTTCGGTACCAGGGGCCGAAGGGAGGGAGGCTAACAGTGAATGGAAATGTGAAATTGATTCGGGGCTGGGTTACACAGGCGATGGTTGTAATTACGTCAATAAGGTGCATGCCTGTACAAAGTTGAATTGGCAAAAACTAGAAGAAGAAAGGAGGAGAGAAAAGAACATGGTGGCGGGTACAGTTCTCTCCCAATACACACAGGATGTAACGGCTGTCACCATCACCATCATCATCACGACCATTACCACCATCACCATCATCACCACCATCA